TGACAGACCTCCTACCCTGACACGTCGATTAGTGAATCGGCCGTTTTCGGTTCGCGAGAGGGCATCGCGGCCGTCATTTTTGCGGGTCCAGGTCCGTCGGCTTGGGTCTTAGGCCGTTTTCACCAAAGGGTAGTTCACTAAAGGGAGGCTTGTCCACCACCGACAAAATGTTATGGCCAGAGGCTCCCAGGCTTCTCGGCGCCCCCCCCCGTTCAAGCAGTGGCAAAGCGTCTTGGCGCGCCTGCAGCCCTACCAAACAATGTTCTAAGAACCGTTTGTGGTTTCTACGACATTTTCTCAGAACATTTCTGGCGGAGTCTGTCTTGTCTTATCACATCGGGTCTATGTTCTAAGAGCATGGCTCTTGTTCTCAGAACATTTCTGGGTCCTGAGAACACGTCGTGCTAGGGCTATCGGAACACGGGGACGGTCGGTCTCTGCTCAACCCGTCGGCGCGGCCTCGGGCGCGGCCTCGGAGGGCGACTCCTCCGCGGGCGGCGCGCGCTCGGGGACGGGCCCGGGCCCGGGGGCGGGCCCTGAACCCGGGGGGGTCTTCGCGGAAGGGGGGGGGGGTCATCCCAGGGTGCAGGATGTTCCGGCCTGCTCTCTAGCCTGGATCCCCAGGAAGAATTCAGGAGGGGAAAAAACACACAGACACAAGTCATCGTCGATCCCCAGGAAACAATTTGAAAATATGGGAAGTTGGGCGGAAGACAGAAACCCAGAAAATATGGGAAAATCTGGGGAATCCTGTTATTTGTGTGTATCTATCTGTGTGTCCGAGGGCCCCTTCAATAATGTCGAGCACCAAGAGAAAGTGCCGAAGCTGGAGGGTGTTCGCGCGTCGGGCCCTGGGAGGCACTCGTTCGACACGGTCTCGACACTGCTTCGACCATTTTCCGGGTGCTCGGACTTATTCAATCGCTTCGCTCATTCCGCCGGCCCTCGAGCGCTCTATGGGGCCTCTTTGAAGCCTCTTGGGGGCCTCTTTGGGGCCTCCTAGGGGCCTCTTGGGGGCCACTTATTTCTGGGATGAAGTCCTTAAGTACGATGGGAACATCAGAACCCAAGGTGGGGATACGGAACGAGCCCAGCTGGATGCTCACATCTCTTTTCTCCAGGGGGGCAGTCGGACACATGTTCGTCTAACCCCCCTCTGAACCCAGGGGGGTTTCGTGGAGGGGGGGTTATCCCAAGGTGGGGTTAGGGAACGAGCCCAGCTGGATGCCCGATGTTCTTCTAACCCCACCTCGGCCCCTACCGCACCTTCAAGTCCCCCCGATGAACAGACTGTCGCCGGCAGGGCTTTCGCCTGGGCGTCGTGGAGAATCACGACTGTTCTTTCCCCCCGCTTGGGGCCCCCAGAACTCGGAGGAGGAACAGCTACCCATTCTGTTGCCCTTCCCTTGTTTTCGCCTTTGGGGCCTCCTGGGAGGCCCTCATCGCCACGGCTGGATGCGCCTCGACATTCTGGTTACAACGCACCTTGGGCGAGGTCCGGGGAGCAGCGGTATCGGTACCTGTTGGTTTTCCCTGGCACCCTGACGGATCGGCCCGGCCCCAAAAGTGGGGGACGAGGCTGGGGGTCGAGGCTCATGATTCCCGAACGTTGCGATTAAGTCGGGCGTGTCCCTCTACAGGAGGAATACTCACGACTTTCCTATATTTTTGAATAGTTTGGGGGTCTGTTTTATTTTTTCGTTCAAAATATAATTGTAGTGGGACATGCCAGACCTAACGTTACGCTGCTTTCACGACGTCAGTTGTTGGGCTCTTCTTTCTCGTCCTTGCACTCCTCGTCGACGGAGGAGGGGGGTGACAAAAGGGGAGGAAGGGAGGCGAGGGACGAGGGTGAGGAAAGGTCTGGAGGATGATGAGGGAGAGGGAGAGGGCGGGAGGAGGAGGAGCAGGAGGAGGGCGAAGGGGAGGCGGAGGGGCAGGATGGGCACGATGGGGACTGCCTGAAACGTCGGCGGGCACTCGGATGTCGAGGTCCCGGACCGCTGCGTTCGAGCCCTCCTGGAAGGAGGTCGGGGGTTCCCCCCCCCCTTCGCGGCGCGGAGCAAAAACCGGAGACGCGGCCGCGCCCAGTCGAAAGAGCAGGCAGAGCAGCGGAGCCCAGAGGACGGGCCGCCGCTCCCCCCCCCCCACGGGCGCTGCGCGGCCCCTTCTCGGAGGGGGGGGGGGGGTCGGGGGCAACGATGGGGTTGGGTCGGGCCTGGCCCTCTACAGGAGGAATATCCAAAAGTAGTTAAAAACAATTGTCAGGAGGCGATGTTTGAGCACTTTTGTTGACAACTGTTTTGTATGTTTGAATGTTTTTTATTTGTCTGTCGTGCAACATCCGCCTGTAGGGGGACATGCCCGACCTAACGATAGGGGGGGGATAGGCTTCCCGGTCCCGCTCGCGCCATGAAAAAATCGCGACGGGGTGTTGTTCCTCGGGGGGCCCTCACGGGGCCTCGGGACCGTCAAGAAAACGACTCGGGTTGAAAGCCCG